GAGAAGTGCTCACTAACACAGATTTAGACAGATTTGTGAACAATATTTGAGAGAAATAGGCCTTTTGTGTACATAGAAAAAGTCTTAGATCTTTGAGTTCAGCTCATGAAAAATGGGGGTAAAAACAAAAGTGTTGCGTTTATAATTTTGTTCAGTGTATATCTATTTTGCAGTGCAGAAGTAGCACAGATGCTGCATCACAAGGAGTGTATGTGAGTTTATGTTTTGTGAGTGACATAATCAATAACGTCAAGTTGCACTTTGTTAAAACAATAATTATGATATTATCATATTGCACACCCCTGGTTGTGACTATAGTCAAGAGACTCATGTTCCTATCACACATAAAAGCAGACTGTGTAATTTCATTTGCTTCACATGAGTATCTTACCTGAACAGTGTAGGTTCTTCCACCAACGCGATTTCTGGCTTCCAGGAGCACAGGATTCAGGCCGCTCTCCACCAACAGCTTGGCGGCACTCAGACCTGTGAATTGGGAACGTAAAATGTAGACTGATTTTTAGTAGACATAGAATATGTAAAAATATCTGATAGATTGGTCTTTAAGAAAACTTTTTTTTATTCAGGAGATGATGAGGAGAGAGAGGGAAATGCATTTGAACTTGTGTCAACAGCATAAGAACAGATCAGTACTTTGGCTAAATGCTAAGACAGAGCTTTAGAGTACATTTGAGATGCCAGTAGCCTGTGGTCTAATCTAAAATACTTTTTTTTTTTTTCAAACTGTTCCTGTCCTGATAATATTAAAGGTTGTTCCTGTCTTTATAACTCAGTTCCTAACTGACTGTATACAGTAGCTACCAATGACAGTGTTGCAATTGGATTTCTATTGTGTGTGTCATCATGACTGACCTGCTAAAAATAACATCTACATATTTAAAACTCTTTTGTGTAAACAAGTTGTGGTGTGGAAATATTTTGTTTGCCATTTGCCTCAACTTGTAAAGGGAAGACGCAGGGGTCTGTCTTGGTAAAATTAGTCAAATGGGCATGAGAGTGGCATATTCATATTAGGAACTGAAAATATATTCAAATTAGCCAAAACATCTAATGAACACGAGAGGAGTAGAAGATGTGTAGAACTTTGTGAATGGTGGGCATTTCCAATTCTGTGGAAATCTGCAGGGCTTAACAAGGATTTTTTTTTTTTTAATACAGACCTGGTTTGGCCTGTAGTTCTCACTTGCCCTGCAAACTTTTCCCAGGAACTGCCACAAAAATAATTTAGAAAACAAAAAAATACAATAACATTTAAAAAATTGTGTGTGTATGTACACTTCAAAAGGTCAGGGTTTGTAAGGCTTTTTAAATGTTTTTGAAAGAAGTCTTTTATGCTCACCAAGGCTGCATTTATTTGATCAAAAATACAGGCAACACAGCACTGGGACAATAATACAATGACATCTGCATCAACCAGCCTGAAAGTCTCACAGAGTCTAGCTTTATTGTTGAAGCCTTTGTGTCATTGGTAAGAGAAAAAAAAATCTTCACAGTATCTAAGATGTCTCTTGGGGAACACTATCAGTATAAAACCACCATATCTTTCAATAAATCTTTGCATCTTCCCTGTAATCACTGAGATTCCTGTTTAAACCCCTGACGCTGTGCAGTGATTATGGTGTCAGACCAATAAACCAACAGTTTCCTCCAATGCATTGCTCAAAACTAGAAACAATAAGTGAGAACTAGGCTCCCTGCAAGCAAAAATCAAATACCAATTCACAGGACTTTCCTGACTCTGAACACACACACATAAGCACTTCCTCTCCTTACAGAGGAAGTATAACTTCTCCTGTGAATTTCATAAGATTTAATGACTTTTTACCACGCTGGAAATAAAAACTAGATTTATATAAATGTATATACAGTCGTGGTCAGAATTATTGGCACCCTTGGTAAATATGATCAAAGAAGGCTGTGAAAATAAATCTGCATTGTTAATCATTTTGATCTTTAATTTGAAAAAATCACATAAATCTAACCTTTCATTGGAGAATAAGAATTTAAAATGGGGGGAAATATCATTATGACAAATGTTTTTTTCTAATACACATTGGACACAATTAACGGCACCCTTTTATTCAATGCTTTTTGAAACCTCCATTAGGCATGATAACAACTCTGAGTTTTCTCCTATAATGCCTAATGAGGTTAGAGAGCACCTGACAAGAGATCAGAGACAATTCCTTCATCCAGAATCTCTCCAGACCCTTCAGATTCCCAGCTCCATGATGGTGCTTCTTCTCTTCAGTTCACCACACTCATTTTCTATAGGGTTCAGGTCAGAGGACTTTCAATTATTCAATTGTTTTGAATAAAAGATCAAAATGATTAACAATGCAGATTTACTTTTACAGCCTTCTTTGATCATATTTACCAAGGGTGCCAATAATTCTGAACACGACTGTATGTATATATATATATGTATGTATATATATATATATATATATATATATATATATACATATGTATGTATATATATATACATATGTATGTATGTATATATATATATGTATGTATATATATATACATATGTATGTATGTATATATATATATGTATGTATATATATATACATATGTATGTATGTATATATATATATGTATGTATATATATATACATATGTATGTATGTATATATATATATGTATGTATATATATATACATATGTATGTATGTATATATATATATGTATGTATATATATATACATATGTATGTATGTATATATATATATGTATGTATATATATATACATATGTATGTATGTATATATATATATGTATGTATATATATATACATATGTATGTATGTATATATATATATGTATGTATATATATATACATATGTATGTATGTATATATATATATGTATGTATATATATATACATATGTATGTATGTATATATATATATGTATGTATATATATATACATATGTATGTATGTATATATATATATGTATGTATATATATATACATATGTATGTATGTATATATATATATGTATGTATATATATATACATATGTATGTATGTATATATATATATGTATGTATATATATATACATATGTATGTATGTATATATATATATGTATGTATATATATATACATATGTATGTATGTATATATATATATGTATGTATATATATATACATATGTATGTATGTATATATATATATGTATGTATATATATATACATATGTATGTATGTATATATATATATGTATGGAGACAATTCCTTCATCCAGAATCTCTCCAGACCCTTCAGATTCCCAGCTCCATGATGGTGCTTCTTCTCTTCAGTTCACCACACTCATTTTCTATAGGGTTCAGGTCAGAGGACTTTCAATTATTCAATTGTTTTGAATAAAAGATCAAAATGATTAACAATGCAGATTTACTTTTACAGCCTTCTTTGATCATATTTACCAAGGGTGCCAATAATTCTGACCACGACTGTATATACACACACACACACACACACACACACACACACACATATATATATATATATATATATACACATACACACACAAGCACGCATTTAATAAAAAAACAGTTAAGTTGGTCTTTTGCCCTTATGGCAATTAATGTGATTAATATGTGATCATAGATTGGAAAAACAACATTTAGATAAAAGTTTAATACAGTTTCAGATGGAGTCACTGCTTAAAATGGCTTGTCAAACAAAAAATAAATAAAAAGATTAACCTGTTTTCTAAAATTCGGTTACAGCCACAGTGATGTGACAATGCAGCAGAGAACATCTGAGGTCAAAGCATGACCTTGGAAGTTTATATAATACTACAAACTGCCTTTGATAAGCAGAGAAATTGGCAGACAAACAGCTTACCCAAACACACGGGTCAAACATCTGAAACACTCGCCATCATTTGGGTTGGCCAGCAGTGACCCACATCACGCAGTGCTACTAACACACACTTCATGCTCTCAGAAATAACAGATACAGTGGGTATAGAAAAGAATCACCCCCCTTTAAAAGAATCACATTTTGTTACTTTGCAGCCTGAAATGAAGACAGACACAGTTTTTGCTTTATCCAGCTGTATTTACTCAGTGCATCTTATAACATCCAAGTGAAAGATATACAGCTGGATAAAACAAAAATGGTGGCCGTCTTCATTTCAGGCTGCAAAGCAACAAAATGTGATAATTTTAAAGGGGGTGATTCTTTTCTATACACCCACTGTTCAAAAGAACAGAGGCTTACAATCCCTGGCCACAGCTGTGAAGTCTGATATCTGACAGGTTTGAAATGATTGTTTTTTTCTAAATTATGTTTTGGCTGAGCCACAGAGCTAGAAAGAAATCCAATATAAACCTATAAGGCTTTGTTCACACTACTCACAAAGGCAATTTGGTTTTCAAATCCAATATTTAGGATTGACTGTCTATTTAGCAAGTGATGAAATCTGATCTGTTTGTTCAGACAGCGTAGACAATATTACATGTATACATTCAAACTCTCATATGGAGACTCTCATACACTAACTGAGAGTGGCTGTCAGTGTGGAAAAAGAAGATAAAACCAGGTCATTTTGTCTCTGCTCATGTCCATCATGGCATCTCACCATGATGTTGAATTCACATTGTCAACAGAAGTAACATTTTACAACTTCATTGATTTTTAAACATTGTAATTTAATGTTTTTGGTGCTCAGACTACAAAAAAACGAAACAAAAAAAGGCCAGTCTGAACAAAGCCGAGAACAATAAATGAGCTCGCAGTTAGATAGGTTGCAGTGAAACCTGATTATTTAACCAGGTGGCGTGAATAGGAGGTATTCAAGTCTCATCCCAAAGAGATGGAGAATGGAAATATTCCAAGAACCAATTCAACACAACCTCATATTTCACACGTTTATGCAATTGACCTTTCGCATAGACCTGTCTCCCTTAGTTACTGTTGCTACATCTGGCAAGCCATGGCGCTCTCATGCCACACATCAAGTTCTCACGCATTGAAAAACACATCGCGGAGCAAAGAGGAGACTGACAACGCGCCGACAGATGTCTTTAATGTGTCGTAACAGATCGCTGTACTGGCTTAGTTCAAGCGGCACGTGAACCAATCATTTCTTCATTTTTACTAGTTATAGCACGAAATAAACATGAATGAACATCAGAAGGTATCTTGTTTCAACCGCAAAAAGACGTCAATACACACCATTTTTCAAGTTCAAGTCCACCAACGTAAATCTATTCTCCTGTCTGGTTTGTTCGTTGGACAAAATGGCAGATTCGGCATTATGATTGGTCTGATCACATGTCAATCAAACTCCCGGCAATTACCGGGTGTGCCTCACACGTCCTGAAAAGTGAAGCTGCGGGCTCTTTGATCGCCCCCTGGTGGCTGGCTGCAGTACAGGTCATAAACCCCGCCCTCTCCATGTAAACGACTGGGACAAAAGTCAAAATAAAAAAATAAATGACACTTCCAATACAATTTTC